TAAATTGTAATATCCAGAATAAAGAACAATTCCCACAAATTAAAAAAAAATCAAAGAACTCAATAATAAAATGGGCAAAAATAATAAACAGGCAAGAATCAGAAAGAAAAAAATAAGTCTCTAGTTTATATAACAAATAAAACTTTATTTTTATTAAGGAAAAACTAAACTAAAATCAAAGTTTGCCCTGCCAGGTGTGACTTAGTAGATGAGCATCGATCTAGGAACCAGGAAGTCATAGTTCCATTCCCAGTCAGGGCACATGCCCAGGTTTTAGGCTCAATCCCCAGCAGGGGGCATGCAGGAAGCAGCTGATTAATGATTATCTCTCATCATTGATGTTTCTCTCTCTCTCTCTCTCTCTTCCTTCCTCTCTAAAATCAATAAAAATATTTTTTAAACTTGCCAAAGTTTAAAAACATAATTATTCCAAGTATTGGTGTGGATGTAGCTTTTACATGACTTGAGTCAAATATAAATTGATCCAATCATGTTGGTGGGTAACTGCTAATAATTTGAAGATATTTGTACACAATGGCCTAGTAACTTAATTGCAACCTATATATCCTAAAAGAACTCTTGGACATAAATACTACAGTCGAACATAAGAACAGAAATTTTTCTACTATTTTAATGTCCATTGATATGGGAATACATAAATCAATAGTCATATATTTATAGGGTGGAATACTATACTGTAGTTAAAGAATGAACTATACCCACTTGAATAAACATGATTGATATAAAAATAAAAAACTAATAGTATAATCAGGTCAATAGAATATGCATAATGATACTGTTGTGCAAATTTAAAACACACAAAATAATAATATTTTTATGAATGCCTTTGTGTAAACCAAAAGAGACAATGAGTTTAATGGTTACTTCTTGGAAAGGGAAGAAGTGAAAGGCATCATTGATGAGTACAAAGATGATGATAACTTGGTCAAAAGTAAATATAATAAATTATTAACCAAGTATCTAGTTTATTACATTATTATATGTATTTTTCTAGACATTATAAAAGTTATAGATTTGTTAAATGCCCTGAGACCTTTTCTTCATGGCCCAGAATCATGAATTCTGGATCATGGGTCCAGAGCAGCACTACCTAGGAAACCCAGAGATGATTCCTCTGCCCTTACCTGCTACCTTCAGATCCACGACGGCCTCTTCAGAGATGTCACCATCTTTAAAGAAACAGTGGTACTTCCCCTCATCAGTAATACTGGCATTATGGATCCTGAGGGTCATTTTGCCCTCTCCCAGGGCATCCTTCAGGAGCACTGTGTGATTTGTATAGTTCTGAGTGCTTTTTCCAGAGAGTTTTTTCTCCTTCTTGTAAACGGAAATCGGCTGGTAGTGATCCCGATACCAGCCCACCTGCATGTGTTCCGCACTCTGTGGTGGGGAAAGCTGGCAGCTGAGCTCAGTGTGCCCGCCTACCAGGACCACCTGGAGGCTCCTGGAGCTACGCACAGTGAACTGCTCTGTGAAGGAAGTCAGAGACCAAGGTTTTAGTGTGAAAGCCACAGAAATATGCTTCACCGAGACCCCCCTCCTCCAGACACATTGGCCTCTTTCTGGTTCTTGATGCCAAGTTCTTTCTGACTCTGAATTTGACTCTCAGGAGTATCTTCACTCTGACATCCACACTCTGCCTCATTATCTCTCAGGTCCCAGCTTAAATGGCAACTCCTTAGGAGATTTTATATGATTACCCATTTACCATCTCCCCTAATCATACCTACACATGTCTTCATAGCACATACAACTACCTGATATTGTTAACTTCTGTCTTTATTTTCTCTCATGGCCCACTAATATGTAAGTCATGCGACAGCAGAGTTTTGTCTTATTCCTTTTTAAATTCTCTTCATTATCCTCAGTGCATAGAACACTGTCTGTGCCTACTAGGCACTCTGTAAATCCTTAGCAAAGGAATGGAAGATTCTCCCATTGTCTAGAGGTAGGATGTGAACCACTGTTGCCCAACAACATCCTTTACTTATTAAACACACAGCTGCTTTTTTCAGTATCCTTTTTGGTGGATTAAAGATGGCCACAAATTTTTTGATGTGACTTCCATGAAGATAAAGGGTCTATGTCCTCTCCTCTTGAAACTGTATGTTTTGAGATTGCTTTGCTCAGTAGAATATGGCAGAAGATGACCTGCAATAATTTCTGAGCCTGTCTTAAGAGCCTGTCTCATTCTTTTAATTTATTTCCTTTATTATTTTTTAACACTCTTTCTGGAAGC